CATTTCATTACATATACACCTAACTTAACATAAGTGGCATTTATATTTTGGTTCTGCATACCACTCAGAAAAGCATTAACCTTTTACAGAGATAAAAACCCTAAATGAAAAGCAGAAAATAGGAGTTCCTCCTTCCATTTTCTCTGCTCCTTTCTTGTTACACTTATGAAATTTGAAACAGTTCAGCTGCTTCACATAAATTCAAACCCCCCAATGCACCTCAAGCGATACACATATTCACACTTATTTTCCGCCAACTGTGCTGCTTTTGGACTCAATGTTCCCAAAAGTCTGTGTTCAACCTTATTGGCAACTACTGGGAGCTTAAATGAAATGCTGAATTGCTGAGGCAACCCCTGCTGCTACAGGCCTGAGCCTCCTGCAGAGCAGCTGTGTGTCCGATGTGTTGTGTTAAACCAGGAAGGCAGTTTATATGTGTGCTTTTTTGTTTGATTTGTTAGACCTGAGACTGATCGTACAGCATTGGTGCAGTCAGGAAGTTTAAAATCTGATTTCAAAGGTCAGGACTTTGTTTTCGTTTTAAGTTAAAGGAGACGAAGAATAGATTATACTCTGGGGTTTCCACCATCCAGTGTCTTAAATAAACCTTAATTTCTCTGAAGTTTCGTCAAAAGTTTGAAGTTTTTCTCTATTTTCATTTAAAGTTAAATTGAGTAGAACAAGTAAAAATATTTGACTTGGGGGTTTGACTTATTTGCTGCTTTCTATAGTAATATAGCCCAACGTTACCCAATGATTCTGGGTAAATTAAGCCTATTGCTTCTTTTTTGATCCATTCTTATTTCTGTGTGTTCATGCCCTCCTAACTCTGGTTTTCACATGTAAACAAACAATTTCATGTTCATATAGTTACAATGCCAAATGTCAAATATAATGGTGTATTTCCTGAAGAATTTGTAAAGCATTCCCTTTACTCCCCGTTTGGGACTGTTGACTTTAACCGCTAAAGTAAGGATGATAAATTATTTTCTGCAAGTGGATAGTACTTAGAAGAATAAAACAATGACCTATCATCACAAGAAGAAAAGGACAAGTAAATTAATTAAAATCTTTGATCGCTAAATTTATAGAGCAAAGTCTTTCCATGTCAGGTACAAACACACACAAGATCGATAGAGTATGGCTGCTGTGTTTAAAGGGATAGTACACCCAAAACATGATTAGCCTTCATTTTCTACTCACCCCTATGCTGAACAACACTCTGGAGTACTTTTTTGATATCTCAAATGCATCTGGAGATCTGGGAGGCTTCTTGCTGTCTGCTGACATTCAAATAATGGAGGTCTGTGGTGCCCGAGACAGAAAGGTCCATAAAAGTCCACAAAAAACGTGTCAATATTTCTCCATACTGCTCGTCCAATGTATTCCAAGTGTCCTGAGTGGGTAGCATCCAGAATTTACTCGAAACAAAGTCATTTAGGATGTTTTTAGAGCATAAACGGTAGTGTATAGGATTTCCTATAAAAAATTCTGGATGCTACCCACTCAGGACACTTGGAATACATTGGACGAGCAGTATGGAGGAATATTGACACGTTTTTTGTGGACTTTTATGGACCTTTCTGTCTCGGGCACATAGACCTCCATTATTTGAATGTCAGCAGACAGTAAGAAGCCTCCCAGATCTCCAGATGCCTTTGAGATATCAAAAAAGTACTCCAGAGTGTTGTTCAGCATGGGGGTGAGTAGAAAATGAAGGCTAATCATGTTTTGGGTGTACTATTCCTTTAAGTCCATGCTTAAATGAATTTATCTTATTTAATGTCTAATCAAGCAACACTCTGACTGTCATATGTTGTCCTGTGAACACACTCTGAAACGGCTTTGTGTTAGGATGACAGATAAAAGAACAAAATCCTTTCAAAATAAAATTATTTATTTTAAAAATTATTTAAAAATGTGTCATTGATGGACTGGCGCCCTGTCTAGGGTGTACCCTGCCTCTCGCCCATTGACTGCTGGAGATAGGCACCAGCACCCCTCGCGACCCCACTCAGGATAAGCGTGCTAGAAAACAGATGGATGGATGGATGGATGGATGGATGGATGGATGGATGGATGGATGGATGGATGGATGGATGGTTAATTGATATTGATCATAAGCTATTGCTTTGTGTCAATCCAACACTGCTTTGTTTTCTTTAGTTTAGTCAATGTTTTATGAGTAATATCTAAAGTCATTTAGCATATAACAATAAAGAGAAAAAATATTTAAAATATTGGGCTGAAAAATGAAAAAGAAATAGTTATTATTGTTCAAAATTAAATTCAAAAATTTTTTGAAGCATCAAAAAAAGAGATTGCAGAAACATTGCAGTTTTGCACTGCAAATAAGTGTTTTCTTTAGGGCTGAAACAATTAATCTGATTTGTCGTGAATAATCGATTATTGAAATAATCATCAACCAATTTAGATTAATCTGTAGTATAGAGACTCTAAAGCATGCTTTTAGCTGACAGAGCAACCAACTTAGAGCAGTAACTACCAAAATAGTAAAAAGAATATATAAATATTTTGCAATTAAAGGTATAGTGGAGGATGTTCTTTTTCTAGGTGAATCATCAAAATAAGCGGTCCTCCTAGTTGTCAATCATTTTGATGATATATGTACATAAAGCCGTCCTACGTGCTCGCCCCCATTTTCACTTATAGGTGGTAAGTCTTACATAGTGGAAAAACTGCAAATCTTCTTATTGAAAGTAAGATTGTATGAGCGATATAAGTAGCAACTTTTAAACAGAGCGTCCACAAGGAGCAAGGGGCTCCTGCATGATCTTGTATGCGTTTAATAGGCGTTCCCTCTCAGGAGCGGGTACAGAGTTGTGCATGTGCATTTTTTCCGTAAAAGTGGAGAGGAACACTTTTCAAAAATTTGCGAAAATCCTCCACTAGAACTTTAAGACAGAAAAAATATTTTTCATTTGTCAATATGCCCTATTCAAAAAAGTTTTAGTTTCACCTTGTTTAATTTACCAAAAAGTCTTCTTTAAAAAGCCTTTTGCTATCCAATTATTAATCAATTAAGTGAAGAAATAGTCGACTGATTAATTGATTTGCAAAATAACCGTTTGTTGTAGCCATAATTTTCTTGCATTTCATTGTTTTAAGCTCAATTTCTTTTATTAAAGTAAATGGATTTGAGCGATTATTGAGGTTGGTCAGGTTATAGGAGCTGTTTTCAAACCTTTTTCGTCGACTTCATGCCCTAATTATATTTCCAAAGACCATGTCCACGCCGGCCGTTCTGGTCCGCTGTGGCCAAGAACGACCCAGCAGCACTAATTGGTATAAGAAGAGTTTTCTGTTTGACTGGCTTTACAGAAACTTGGCATTTACTACCACCTCTATATCTCCTCAAGAGAGAGTTGAGTTACTTCTGTGAAGTGCATGTGTGCTCATACTGGGGGCTGGATCCCAGACTGCTTTGCCAGAGACAGAGACACATTGTGTGGGGAAATGAGCTGTAAGTCGAGGGGGTTGGTTGTCTCAGGGAAAACACAGAAACAGGCGGATTGAAACAAGCTGAAAGTCACAGTTTTATCCTTTGTCTGAAGTTACAGGCAGAGCGACTCGAGGAGTCTGATGTAAAGATTAACGAGCTGCATGCTTTGGGACGATGAGTCCTGACTATGGAGGACAGCATTAAGATTCACTGCTGATTCCAGCAAGGAGGTGACTCATCATCTGCGTTTAAGATACACAGATAAACATGTCAGGTTTGAAATTTGAGAGTGCTATATCTTAACTGGAAACCAAAAAAGTCCTTTTCTTCTGTTTCAGAGGACAACATGACCACATTTTTATTGTTTATTTAGTGACCAGCTGTAGATTTATTAGTTTCTGCTGACAAGCTTTGTTTGTTCGCAGATGTTGGAGCAGTCCTCCCTTCAATGATCCCCTTTCTTTCCTCCAGTCCTCCTTTGTCTCTCACTGCAAAAACTTTTGTTTTCTTCCCTCAGAATCTCCTGCAGTTTCGCTCTCTTGATTCTTTGCCCCTGCCCTTTTCACCCTCTTGAAATTTCTCCCCCCCTTTTTCTTTCTCCCTCAATATCCGGCCCCTTTTCTCTTTTTGGTTCCCCTTACTAATTCCCCTTTCCCCTTCCCTCAGCCCCTCTACAGTCTCCACCTCTCCAATGCTTTTCTCCTTCTTCAAGCCACTGTCCTTGTTGCCTGTCTTGGCAGAGGGGCAAAAGTAGGCGGTCTGAGGTTGAACTAGCTGCATTAGGTCCATGCATTATTCATGTACTCTGCTCTCTGTGCGCCTTGGTCCTGCATTGGCTTTTAGTGGGACACATGGGCCCCATGAAGAAGATGATGTGGTCCTGATAAAAGGGCTGCACAGATGAAGCTATCACTTTCTCACTTTTATTAAAATTTGACATCTAAACTTTCCCCAGATTTAGTTTTTTCCCCAAATCAGGGGCTGTTCTGAGGATTCAGCCACATCTACTCTGATGCTCACATGAGAGATTTGTCTTGTTTCCCTTTTGACCAAGCTCTTCCTCTGCCTGGCAGCTTTTATCTCTCCCTTCTCCATATTTATTTATTTTTTTTGGCTTTTCAGAGCACTCCCAGTAAAAACGTTTAACTCTAACTGGGATGTATGAAAATTTAATTTAAGCATCTAGACTTTGAAGGATGAAGCGCATTGTCTCCATATTGCATGCTAAAAAAAAAAAAGACAGAGAGGAGGGTGAAGGAGAGAAGAGAAAGCAAGAGAAGCCTTAGGGACTTAGAGGAGGGGCCTCCTGGAAAACCACAGCCACATAGCTGCTTTGGGCTCACATCTGCTCTGGCTTGACATACTTTGCATTTCATGATTAAAAATATCACCAACTGCAGTTAGGCTTTTTACTTATGAATAGAATTCAAATTTAAGTCAGAAACACCTTGTCTAGGCCCGAATATAAGCTTGGACATGTACTCCATTAATAGATTTTGACAGGTTTCCCTGACAGCCTTGTTTTCGCTCTGCACAGGTGGCGGCTCCAGATTAAGATTAGGCCCCAATGATTGCAAAGACCCGTCTCCACCGTTTTTCAGCCAACCCTGGAGCGGTCACAGAGCTGATGTCTGACAGGACAAGGGGACATGCTTGTTTTGGAGCCCTGAAGAGGAAAGCCACATCTCAGTGAGTGATGCTTTCAATATCTTCTAATTAAAATGACTCATTGTTTCAATTACTGAATTATGTTGACAAACCAGGAGCTTATGAGAGAATGTATGTGGTTAGATTGCCCAAAACACATATCATAACCTTCGGACTGCTCTGGTATTTTTTTTTTTTTAACTCACCAGGTAACAAGTTACTTTGGTAAAGCTGGCAGCTTTGGAGAACAAAAGCAGTAAGGCTATTGGTGAAGTGCATGTGCATAAGAAAAGGTCCACCGTTGCAGCTACTGCTGCTGCTCCACAGAGACTGATATTTGAGACGTCTACCTGACTCTGCAAGGACAGAGAAGGTTAGAGAGCAGTAAGGAGAAAATCAAAGACCGAAGGGGGAGAACGGCGGCGTAAATTACAGGCTTTGCCAATGATCATTGCATCTTAAAACAAAAAAAAACACACATCTGGATGGTATCTTTGACAAGTATTGGTACTCATAGAAAATGTTCACGTTAAAATGCCTTGGTTTGGATTTTAATGATGATAATTAAGTAAAAGGAAAAGGTTACAAGGTTTTCAAATCCTTGAAAACCTTGTAACCTGCTGTTTTTCTTCCTCAGTATAGGATGATACCCCTAGATGACAAATTAGATAACAGTCCACCCATGTGTTAAGTTCTGGAGAGGTGTGTTAAATACAAAAAAACCCCATAAAACTACTCACCTAGTCATAATGGACTACACAATATATGCATGGTATAAAGTAATGCAGAAGTTTAAAATGCGGTTAGGTTTTAAAACAATATTATAAACTTTGAACATAACTATAACAATAATGTGTTACAGTAATGTAACAAAACCTGGCTACCCACAAGGACACATGTAAGAGGTCATTGTAACTGTGGAGGAACTGCTGATATCTGTACCTCAGCTGATATAATCTAAGGGCAACAATTAGTTGTGCACCTCACACATCTGGCCTGTATGGAATAGTGGCAAGCTGAAAACCTAGGAAGTGTAAAATGAAATTAGATCAAATTAGATCAGAGCTGAATCTCTGAGCCAACATTCTAAACAACATACGTATGGAATACAAAAAAATACTGTGGGGGTGTTTTACTATAGACCCTGAAGCCAGATATAGGACAGTCATTAAAGAAAACGTTTTAGAAGCTGCAAAACAATAGAGATGTGGGTGTCTAGAACAGGTGACTTCAACCCCAGTCTCAAGGACCAAGACACATTTAGAAGGTGCAGGACATAGAGGAATGGGACTGAAAAACCATGGTCTTGAAGTTTATCTTAGAGGAGAAGAAAAACAATCCCAGAATACGAACTACCAGGAAATAATTTAGAGATTTATTAGACAGTTTGTAGCCTTTAGAAAAGTGGCCTTGTAGAGGAGGACAGCTGTAGATCATAGAAGGCTGCTGAGGAAAGAGGGCAAAAGCAGGGAGAGGCTGCAGCTGGTCGGGGATAGCTATAGAGGCTACCTTTGGAGGATCAAAGGAGGATGGCGGTAGATTGAATATGTCAGCCAGGCAGACAGAGCGCCAGAGTAGAGGAGATGCGGCAGCTGGCTAGTGTCTGTGCTGGAGGTGGGACGGCTCAAAAGACCTTCAAGGGCTAAATTAAAACGTCTTTTCTAAAAGCCACTCCCAAACCTCTTAAGAGCATTACGCACTCAGTCCTTTGTCAAAATATATTTTTTTATATTCCATTTTGATGGAAGAAAAGCTTGTTTCTGATGTCTCCTTCATGGAGGTCACACCCACGTATAGTTCTTGATTGGATTTTGTGATGCAAATGTAAACAAAAGTTCAGATTTTTCAATTTCTGTGAAAATGCTTAAATTCACACCATAGCTCAGGTGCGAATGTACTTTAAGATACGAGGCGTTCTGATTCTGCTACGCAAATTGTTGAAAAATATCAAAATAAAAATACAGAATTTAGTCTTAGCTCACTCGATAAAGCGTGAAGATATTCCAGCTGAACATTTAAATATGTTCAATAAAGTTAGAAAATCTGTAAGTTTTAATTATGAGCCAGAAATTACTCTTTGAACAGCTGTATGCAAAGCAGATGTTCTTATTTTGTGAATCTTGTCTGATTGAAAGAGACTCAAGTGTCAGTAATTATTCTTGGTTCCATCTGGTCATTCACTCTCAGTCCTCCTCATCCACATCAATCTGCCTCAATCCGGATAAGCAGGAGGTGCTAAAGTGACACCCTGACCTGTTCAGGCCCGTGGCCTACAAGGGCATTTAATCCTCTTATAAGACAGGACTACTACTGCTAACACAGAGAGAAAGGTTACACAGCACTGGCCTACAACAAGTGAGATGAGCTTAAACCTTGCTGTAAGGCACACGACAGCACTCCTTTGCATCAACTATTGACCGCTCAGCAGAATGAACTCTCCTTAGAACTCAAAGTAATTCCAGTAAAGTGCCTCAAGCTTTTGTCTTTGATTGAAAAAGGCATCTTTTAAAAAGCAATGAACAAGAATGGCAGACCACCAGAAAGTTGTTTTACATTTTTCAAGATCTTAATGACAGTCTTGGCATCCACAAGTTGGCCACACAGCTGATCAAAAACGCCAATTTATTCTGTTGAACGTTTCAGGGGCAAATCCATCATCATTAGCTGCATTTATCAGGTCTGGGTTGAGAATTTGGCCATAGGATTCTTGTTTTATTTCATGCATTGAATTAAAAACATCAGCAATAAGCAGATTGAAAGAAAATGGGCACAATATATTGCTGCGAAGGTAAAGAAAAAATGAGACATGTTCTTTTAAAGAAAGTTAAAATCTCAAGTGTGTTTTGTTTGCAGTTCATGATTGCAAAATAGTTTAAGCTTTGTCAAACTGGACTCTATTGTCCTTCTGGAGATCCTTCATTGGATTTAGCTTTAAACTTTGACTAGTCCATTCTAACACATTAATCTTTAATCTAAATTAAACTAGCTCTGATTGCATAACTGGGGTCATTGTTGTGCTGAAGGTTAACGTCTGGCCAAGTGAAACATTCTCCTACAGCCTATGACAGGCCACAGATCAGACCATTCCTCCGTAAAGGTCGTATTTGTGGAGGGGTTGACCAGTAGTTGTTTGCTTCTCCTCCCTAAACTTTACATTTTTGCATCTCCTACAGAAATACTGCTGGCAGCTTGCAGCTTTTTTAATTGTTGGTCTTTTATAAGTTCTATCCATCTTAAGTCAGTGGGCGCTTCTAGACATACAGGGGCCAGTGCACCAATAGAACTGCTCTTTGCCCTTTTTATAGAAGAGACACCAAAGCTGATTGGTCCCTTAGACCAATTTAGTTTAATTTTACTCTAACAACAATTTAACTTTGGAACTGTGCATGTTAAACTTTTGTTCTCTGTCCCCTTAAAAAATAGAAATAAAAAGCCTTGTTTGACTATTGAAGGTAATTGGTTAAGTTTAATTGCAGATATCAGGATATATGCACACCACACTTTTGTGATTTTCATTTGTAAATTAAAAGGGGAACCAAACATCTGTTCCTTTAACCCTTTATAGGGAAAGTTAGCGTTTTTGATCACTTGCATACCCCTTACAAATGGAGTCCCCCCAACACTCAGTGAGGTCTAGAAGCACAAGATCTATACCCAGCCATTCTGTAAAGATACTGCTACATGGCTGTACATCTGATTTTGGCATTTGACTAATTAGATGAGGCCTTTAATGATATATTACCAACCGTAAATTGAGCTGGGGAAAAAAGTTAACAAGTCAAGATAAAAAGGTAAAAAGCTAACTGAAAAATAAAAATATAAAGTTCAAAAGTTAATAAGCCTTGTTAACAATTATATTTAGGTTTATAAACTAAAAAACGTAAGTGCCAGTATCAGCATTAATGCCTCTAAGGTTATGTTTGAGCAAAAAAATGTGTTTCTTTCACTCTCAGTGTTTTTCATGAATTTCTTATAGAAGCACTTTTGTTATTTTTCTTAATATATTCGGGCAAGTTGGCATTTCTTATTACATTGACATTCATTTTTGCCATCAAAATCTTCATATTTGTTTTAACGTTACGAAGATAATAAGGTCTTGTCCTGGATTCCAATAACACTATTAGCTTGAAATTTGGATTTTCTAAGTATTTCACTGAGCCCTATAAAGGGTTAAACTCTGCCTAATGTCATACTTTGTGCTGGTTTGTAATATAAAATCATAATAAAATCCACTTAGGATTATGGTTTTAATGAAGTAAAATGATAAAAGTGTTTTAATTGACTGGAAATCTCACTTAGCAGCTCTTAAAGTTTTGCTTTCTAACGCAGAATAAGCATAAACATTCATAGTGAAGCTTTTTTTGTACTTTAAACAAAACATTTTAAAGAATTGTTTGACTTCTCTGTTGCTATGTTTCAAATGGCTGACAGGAGAAAAAAGTAGGAAGGAGAAGAAGTCGACTTTTAGACTGAAGTCAGCACTGCCCAGCTCTGCCTCCCTAAGGGCCAAACTGAGCCTCCACATCATTCATGATGTCACCACAGATTCCCACTTCAAAAGGCCAGCTAAGCAAAAAAATGCACAGCTGCTGCTTGTAGCAACAATGCATTTCGGCCTATGGGCCGGATCTATCAAAGGTTTGCGTGTATTAAAACGTGAGCTATTTCACTGCGCACGCTAAAAAATGTACAAACTGATCTATCAACAGCGTGCTAAAAGCATTTGGTCTTTAAAACGTGCTAAATAGCGCCTCTGATCCATTTAGTACTTTTTCTGCAATGAATATGCAATATGGGGCGTTTACACGCTAAAGTGCGTCTTGTGGGAGGAGAACATGTAAATATATTAATTTAGCACTCGCAAAGTGATTTATCAAACTTGAACGCAATTTTGCTAACGGTATCTGACTCTATATTTAACACGTTTCAAAAGAAGGTGCAAATGGTCTGTATGCGTAATTGCGCACACATGGCAGCGGTTATTGTCGCAAGAAGGAGACATGGAAATAAAGCAAGGAGACGCAGAGAACGCATTTTTTCACTCCGTGTGAATATTTTTGCAATGAACGAGGAAACGATCATCAAAACATATCGTTTATCCAGCATATTGCCATTTTGGAGCTGTTGGGGGAACTCCGAATGGATTTGGAGCCAGCCACAAGGAGGACCCACGCAATACCAGATATCACAAAACTCCTTGCAACATTGCACTTTTTTGCATCTGGGTCATTCCAGCGTACGGTTGCAGCGAAAGCTGGGATCTCCCAATCTCGTTTTTTCAGAAGTGCTGTCCGACGGGGTCGGGGTTCTCCCCCTGCGCCTGTGGAGCAACATGCCAATGCTGCGGGGATCTCATCCACAGTCACAGGCCAATACAAAACACCTGGGTTTTTTTTGGTTTTTTTTTACTGCAGGACATACCACCTTAGGGAATAAAGGTTGCCAATTTATAAATATATATATATATATATATATATATATATATATATATATATATATATATATATATATATATATATATATATATATATATATATATATATATATATATATATATATATTTACTTATTTATTTATTTTGTTGGGGGTCACTGTAAGATTTAAATTTCTTAATGCACTAGTTTGTACAGACTACAAACTACTTTGCCGCAAACCACAAAACGCGCAAAACCATCATTTAAATAGGGCGTCTCCAACAGTTTTGCACCTTCCACCAGTTACGCAATCGCTCTTGTTAAATCACCCGCAAACCATGGTTCAGCCCCTCGCGCAAAATTCCAGTTTGCGAGCGCAAATTACTGCACGCAAAATTGGATCTTGATAAATCCGGCCCTGTGTGTTAAAACCTTCATTGTAAATCCTCCTATTGTGCAATAGTGGGGCTGCTGTTGATCTAGTCATATGCTGTTGATCATGCTGACTAAGCCCCCCCCCCTGCTCTCCTATCCAGACCTTTTTTTTTTGTGCTGTTTTCCATTCCTGAATCTGTTTATTCATTGCTTTCCAGCCAGACAACATGTGCTGCATATAAAAGAGAATGAAAAATGGGAATGGAAGTGGAGCACAATCCAGGCACTGATTACTCAATCCAAAAAACAGACAGAACAAAGCCCCTAGGAAGGAATCTAATTTATTTGATCCTTCCAAGATACTTTCATCCTTTTCTCACTTGTGTTTTGCTTCGTTGTCATTTCTGCAACTCTCAAGTGCCTCTTTCCCTCTGTTCTGTTTTGTTTCAGATAAATGGAGGAGAATGAGCGATGTAGGAGCAGGTCTCCGGCTCGGAGGACCAGTCGGGTGCAGCAGGTGGTGGGAACCATAATACGGCGTACTCGGGAGTCCCTGAGCAGGTAAAGATGAACATGAGGTGCAGGAGTGTGATTAACACCTATTAAAGTTGAGAAGAGTCTAGAAAAAAATTGTCAAAAAACAACAAAAAAGTTGGGAATAAAATGTTTCATGGGGCGTCATCTTAGATAAAAAAACAACAACAACATTTCATCCCAAGTGTCTGACGGTAAATAAAATTAGTTTCATGTGAAATTTGGGGAGGTTTGAATTGCAGATTATGGCAAAATTATATATATATAGGGTAAGAAAATAGTTCAATAACAACACAACTGCTGCTTCTTTTACAGGATTTAAGAGGGCAAGTGTGATCAAAATAAAACAAAAATGATGCTCTTAAATTAACCTGTCAGAGTTTGGTTATGGTTTTTGAGGACCCAAATGCAGAGGCAGGGAGGCATACAGTAGGTAAGTTTCTTGAAGCTTTAATTGAATGACCACAAACAATTGAGACAGGAATCCAAAAATCCAACTTAAAATGTAACACAAACCAGAACCATGAAGACATAAGGGAAAACAATCATGAGGAGCCAGGGTAAGACGAGTAAAGACGAGGAACCAGCACTGAGGAACTGTATTTATGTATTTATTTATGGGAGACTGAACAAAGAGAGGACTAACGAGCTGATTGGGAGCAGGTGTGAAGAGAGGAGTCTAGAAAGGAGCTATGGAAAAGGAGACCAACACAAGAGGGGAACAGAGGCCAACAAATAAAACCCTAAGAACTCAAATATATCCAGAAAACACAAAAAATAGGAATTAAACCAATAAAACATGGAGCAAAGTAAAACCAAATACTCAAAAGAAAACTTAACAGAACCAACACCATGACACTATCATGATGAAATGTGATAACTTTAGTAGAAAGTAGATTTTTAGCTATTATGGGGTCTTTGTGTGACACAGTGCTAAGCAGGAAAGACAAAAAAAGACCTTTAAGAATGAATTTGTGAATTGATCAATGAAGGATTCTTAGGTCAAATAAAATCAATTCAAAAGCATTGATTTCACAGAGAGAAAGTATATTATTTAAAAGTGAAAAAACATACAGAGCAATGGATGTCTCAGCAATTTCATAGCTGCTGGTGATGCTATCTGCAGCAGTTACTGGTAAGTGGAGAGGTACACGAAGCAGACAATAATGCATGCAAACTTTTGCTAAAGCACTATTTAGTAAAACGAACCAACATAGATGATGCATAAAACAGTAAGGTGAAAAGCCAGAACACATCATATTAACTCAAACAAATGTAACTGTCAGGCATAGTACTGCTGACTGGTTTTCTGTTTTTCTTTGCTGCTACAGATGGTGGGTACTTTGCAGCTCCTTTGTGTCCTAAATCAGGATTGAAAGGTCAAATGTCAGATAATCTTTGTGACAGTTAAAGTTTGGCTCTCAAGAATTGGCAATTTGGTCCAGACCATGTTGAAATGCTGTGGTGTGACCTTAAGAAGACTGGGAATCAATTTGTGGCCACCAATTGGACAATATCATAAAGAGGAAGTTTGAAATTCTCCAACAACCACTTGAAAGGGTGTTATGAGGAATTTGTAAATGGGCTTTTAAAAACTTTACTCGTAACAATATGGGAAAAATAAATAAAACTGCCGAGATTAAAGGTCCATCTCCTTACCTGGTATAAACAAATAGTAGATCTCAATCTAACAAGAATACACATACCACATAGCCGAGTACATATTTAATCTCTGACTTCCCCCTCACACACCCCACAGTGAACCACAAATATGCATTCAACAGCCATCATCCTCTAGTCGCCAGCGAAGTGGTTTCCCATTCCAAGCGTAGGAGGAAGCCCAGTAAACTGTCTGTGTTAGCTGCTCCTGGGAAAGGCCTCACTGTGTGTGGATGATACTGTTAGCTGAGGTTCCTTCATAGTTATGTGAACTTTACTCTACTAAAGTAATTTTAAATGTCTATGAGTTGCAGCAGACTTAATGAAATTTTACTTTAGAAAAAATGCTTAGTTCATATGATTGAAATTGGACAGAAACCAGAGATGGCAAAAGTACTCACTTTCCGTACTTGAGTAAAAGTACAGATACCTGTGTTAAAAAATACTCTGGTAAAAGTGGAAGTACTGATAAAACTTCTTTACTCAAGTAAAAGTAAGAAAGTACAGGCTTGTAAATTTACTTAAAGTATAAAAGTAAAAGTAGAAACCACTTTTTTCATGCCGTTGCCTACATTTTAAATGGATGTCTGCCAATAGGACTAGATCTCCGTTGTGTTCATTTTCAATCATCTCGTCGTCCATACTACTATGCTAACGCCACCGCCACCAAGCTGCAATGATTTGCCGCGAATGAATACCGCCGAATCTGTCGATTCATCTTGTAGTGGTGCGTCAAATGCAACGTAGATTTCCATCCAATTAGATTGAATTTGGTATTGATGACGTGAAAAATAATTACGGTAACTCCATTGAAATGATTCAAAACTAAAGTAACGAGCCAATTTTTTTAAATGTAAGGAGTAGAAAGTACAGATATTTGTGTAAAAATGTAAGGAGTAGAAGTAAAAAGTCGCCATAAAAATAAGTAGTAAAGTAAAGTAAAAATATCAGAAAAATCTACTTGAGTACAGTAACGAAGTATTTGTACTTCGTTACTTCCCATCTCTGACAGAAACGCATTACATTCTAATATTTTCTGGTTTAAAAGTTAGATTTCCTCTTTTGTAGTTTTGTAGGTTGGAGGTTGTTATGTAATCCATTGCTGACACTCTTTCCGTATGGAGTCATACTGCTGTAACACTTTTAGAATGTGGTTTGGTGACATTTCATCAAAAGAAAAAAGCAAGACTTGCCTATCTGGATGACAACATGTTCTGTTCCGCTTTGTTATCATCGTCATGCTGTGCAGTTTTACATTTAACAAAAACAATTGCTTTTATAATCTTGCTCTATATTTCATCCCCACGTTTCCTGAAGTCTTGACCAGTAATAAATGTTGTGACATTATTGATGTGCTAAACAAAAAGTACCCAATAAGCTCTTCCTTCACATGTATCGCTGAGTTATTTTGGAGGATGCTGCTGGCATCAAATTTAAAACAAGAGCTCCCAGAAAGCATATCCACCCAAGAATCAAGACACTTTCTGCTATTTGTCCTGAAGGAATCCTGATATGAACTAAATAAAATGTCTTTGAGGTTCATTTTGCTGCAAGTCATAAAAACCTTAAAGAGTTTTTGTTTGCCATTTATGCACAACCTTGATCCTACCTGTAAGGCTGGTTAGACCAGTTTCTACAAAAAACTGTATTTAAAATGTAGTTATTAGGATATTAGTAAAGCAAATATGTTAAGATGAATAATTACACGCAGAAGTATTGTAGAGTTAGAAAACAAAATTTAAAAAAAAATTCTCGATCCAGGGATTAGACAAACTGATTATATTCGTAATGTATAAGTAAAGGAGAGAATTGTATGGTGAATTGCCTTTCTCTGTAAGTACAGCTATACAATAGTAGCCATTTAAAATCTCCCCACTTTCCTTGATGGGTCCTTGGCTAGTCCCCTACAATTCCTTTTCAAATATCAATCTTTGTACCAAAGTATTCTTTCTGTCATGATTTGTGGACATTAAGATCTAAAAAGAAGTGCCATCTCCTTGTAATTCAGTGAAAGGGTGGAGTCAGAGTAAAAAAAATATGCATGCCAGGGAGAAGGAGGGGGTCACTCCAGGGGCTGGAATTTGGAGGGGATTCTGCTTAGAGTTGCAGGGAAGTGGGCTGCCATTCGGCTGGCTTTTTACTGGGAAGGGCCATTATGAAATTGGGGTTTGGGGTTTGTTTCTAACAGCTTTGTAACTCTAGTGACTGAGATTTTTGCAGTACAGTTCAGGTTTAGTCATATTCGAAGGAGAGCATGTATGAAAAGCATGTTTCTTTATAAATTCATGCCACAGATGTTGAATAAATACGAATATGAACTTTTATGACAGTTAAATGCAGCTTTGTTTTCCCCATAGCATGATGCTGCCTCCACCAGAGCAGAGATGGTGTTTATTGTAGAACATTAACCAGTGTTCGCTGTGTGTAAAAAATATTAGCTGTCCATCTGTCTCTCTTTATTTACTCCAATCTCTGTCTTACATTACAGTTTTAAACCACATCCTGAATATCCTGCAGTTAAAATATTGAAAGATAAAGATTCACCTGGGCTGAAAATCAGTTATTCAGTGGTTGCAAAGCTAACATCTGACTTATTCAGCAAGAATGAAAAGCATGTCTCTTTCATAAGGTGTTAAGTGTTGTTGAATGAACAAAAGAAAACATAAATTGTTAATGTACATTAAAAGTTTTTTTTTTTTATAAATTTGCACCTCATAAAAAATGTAAGTAAAAACTATTTGTTTTAATATCTGCTGATTCAATCACATGACACCATCCCCCTTCTTGATCTCCTCAGGGAACGTCTGCTGGGCGATGGAAGGTCACAGCGCTCTAACAGTCTGTCCAGTCAGAGCTTCCAGGCCAAACTGACGCTGCAGATCACCAGAGACCCTGTCCTGGACCGCAGCACCGGACATGGCTTCACTCTCACCACAGACGCCCCCCTGCTGGTCAGGGATGTTGCTCCAGGTACACACTGAGCCTGTGTGTCACATGTTCTTCCATGTGGATGAGTGTTTTCTAATACTTCTCTCCAAATGGCTACCTGCTTTATGCAACAGTACTCCGCCTGGAGCAACTCATATTCTTGTCTCCATGCACACACAAACACAGACGCATATAGACAGACACACAAACAAAGACAGAGTCTCTTTTGGCATTCACCCATGTTGTGGGGCGTTGAGCCAGACCAGGACATGAAAACAGCAGAGCCACCTGCTCATCCTTTCTAAATTCAGTATTCAATCACTTTCCATTTATACCTCTAATCAGAGGTGTCAGCTACAGGAAAGACAGGGGGAGATGCTGATCCATCCCTTTTACGTCGATCTTGTAAAATAAGCTGATAAAAAGCCCAGAGGAGAGTCCCACCCAGGCTTCATCTCTGTAATTGCTCTCTGCTGCCAAAGAAAAGATGGTGAGAAAGTGAGAGGGAGGTGATAACTGTGGACAACATCTAACAGAGAGGAGGAGGGGGGATTTAGTCAGCAGTGATTGGATTAAGCGCAAACACAGACAGATTTAAAAAGTCTGCAAAACTGTGAAGGAAGGCAGAAGAGAGAGATGGGAGGAGTCAGGAAATAAAAGCGATCGGGAGAAAAGATCAGGAAATTGGCTGAGCTGTCACGAAAGCTTGAGAGGAGGAGGGTGGAGTTGTGCTTCAATGTGTATTTTAGGGAGAGCTTGCAGCATTCCATTATGGCAGGGAGGGCGAAAATATGCTCAGGTGTGTTGAGAACGCATATGTTCTGTAGGTTTGTGACTGCCATTTGCTACAGTGAGATGAAACGCCTTAGCGTCTCTCTTGCCTCAAGTCAAATGAGTATAAATAACCAGAGTGGGCAGAGCAGAGGCGAACTGGAAGAAACCCAGGATGACTGTAACCCCTCATGTCCTGGAGAGCTCATTCCAACACTGTTGAGTCAGCCGTATTCAATGAGCATGTGTGCCAATCTGTTCTGTGCGGTCGCTCTGCATGTTTCTGCACGTGCAGCCAGAGTGATTGATCAGTCTCATGTTTGTGTGTGTGTGTGTGTGTGTGTGTGTGTGTGTGTGTGTGTGTGTGTACCACAGGAAGCCCTGCAGATGGGATCCTGTACCCAGGGGACCAGGTGCTGCAGATAAATGAAAAAGTGATGGAGGATTTGAGTGCAGAGCAGGTGGAAAACATCTTGAGGTGAGAATATCTAACTGAGGTTTGTGTTTCTATTTCCCTTTGGGATTAATAAAGGATTTTTGAATTTGAATTACTTTTGAATACAACATCTGAGCTGTTATGCCCATATTTAATTAGACTTCATACACCTTGATAATTTCCACATTTTGTCACGACAAAAAAAAAAGTTTTTCAAATTATTTGCAAATTCTAACACGGATATCCACAAATAAAGCACAATGCACCGAGTGTCTTCACTTTGAGCAGGGCCCTATAAGCACAGATAAACAAACAAGTAGATTTCTAACATGCTGGATTAGACTGAAGGTATTTGAATGGTCCAGTAAAAGTCCAGGCCTAAATCAAACAGATAATCTTTGGCAAAACTCACACTCTCTATTTTATCTAGTTTTAATTATTTCCCAAAGAAGATCCTTACATTTGTGTCTCAAATTGTGTAAGACTGGTAGAGATACCCGCCAAAACTTCCAGCTGTACTTAGGGTGAGAGGCGATTTCAATTATATTTTAATTTGTTAAAAAAAGATAAAACCCATGTTTTCCTTTTCCTTTTTTTTTTTTTTACAATAATGCACCAGTTTGTGTTGGTGTACCACATTTAATTCAGTTAAAGACAGCGGTTGTTATGTGGCAACAAAAGGAAACGTTTAATGGGTTCAAATGTAAGACAAAAACATATAAAACAATATGCATGCATCTGGGTTATTTTCTGTTGATTCTTCCATCCAGGGACCTGGAGGATTGCATCAATGTGACTATTCTGCGGCACATGACAGTGAGTACAAAGACGCAGCTAAACACATTAACACGGTCACATAGGGTCATTAGGTCATTATTCCTTCAACCATGAGCAGCTTAGTTCTTAAAGGTATAGTGGAGGATTTTCTTTTTCCCGGTGGATCAGCAAAATAAGTGCCCCTCCTAATTGTCAATCATTCTGGTGATATGTTTATGTAAGGCCATCCTACGTGGTCGTCCCCATTTTCACTTACCGGTTTTAAGTCTGACATAGTGGAAAAATTACAAATCTTCTTTTGGAAAGTAAGCTTGTAGGAGCGATGCAAACAGCAATTCTTAAACAGAGTGTGCACGAGTAGAAATGGGCTTGTGCATGCTCTTGCAAGCTTTTAAAAGGCGTTCCCCCTCGGGAGCGAGTACAGGGTTGTGCGTGTGCATTCTTTTTTAAGTGGAGCGGGCGGGTCTTTTCAAAAATTCGCGAAGATCCTCCACAATGCCTTTAACCTGTGACAGCAGGTTTGCATCCTCTGACTTGGATTTTTCTTCACTTTTTCTTCGGAATTGCAACATGCAGATTAGGATTTTTTTTTAACAATTTGTGGTTTCAGACTTAATTTTGTCTTTTTTCATTGTTGCCCTAGAGAACAAGCCTGATTTAGTGATGATACTTATCTATTGCAGAATCCCAAGTCATCCATTATGTCAGCTGAGAAGAGAGCTCGTCTGAGGAGTAATCCAGTTAAAGTGCGCTTTGCAGAGGAGGTGGTAGTCAATGGACACACTCAGGTAGAAATTAAAAAAAAAATCCTCCTTCTTGAGCTTTAATGGGTTTGAAATGTAACATAATTCTAATGAATGATTTAATTATTTTTTTATTTTTAATCGTGTCTAACTGCTTCTTCCTTATTTTCTCCACTAGGGAAACTCTCTTCTCTTCCTTCCCAATGTTTTAAAAGTCTATCTAGAGAATGGACAGACCAAGGCCTTTAAGTTTGACAATACAACCACTGTCAAGGTAGAGGTGTTTGCTCATTGAGAACGGATGTCTAGATTGTTATTACATGCAGCTGAGTGAGCTCATAGAGCAGATTGTCCATCTGGCATCAGCAGACTGGGATAAAATGTTTGAATCAGTCGATTAAAATGTTGTTTTTCATCTTTTTAGGACATTGTTCTGACACTAAAGGAAAAACTCTCCATGCGAGTGATTGAGCACTTTGGTCTGGTACTAGAGCAGCAGTATAGCATCGCCAAACTATTGCTACTGCATGAAGATGAGCTCATTCAAAAGGTGAGGGATCTGCAGACAAATCCAGACTTCCTTAGTGAGCAGTGAAGGAAGCTCATAATGGTTGAGTGTCAATGACAGGTATTTAGGACCGTTTATGCTTTGTCTCCACCAGGTGGTGCAGAAAAAAGACTCGCATGATTACAGATGCCTGTTCAGGGTTTGTTTCATTCCCAGAGACCCCTCGGACATGCTACAAGAAGACCCCTTGGCCTTTGAGTATCTCTTTTTGCAGGTCAGAGAACCCTACCAGTCAGCACTGCTTTATGTTTTTAATTCAGTCAAAGAAAATAGATAAATCTCAGGGAGATAAAGAAAAGATTGTGTTTTGTTTAGTTTATGGTTTCATTTATTGTACGTTCCCTTGAAAAAGCCCCCAGAAACAAAAGCTACTTTTTTTTTTTTACTCTCCCACTGCTTCAAGTTTCTCTCTGATAATTTTTCAAACCGTCTCCATCTCTTATGATTCCCTTCGGCTGCATATCAATTACTTTGTATTTTGTTGCACCTCTTTGAATTTTCAGTGTTCTTGAAAAGCTGCTGTTCTAAGCAGTCTGGCACTGTGATGCTACCAACCCAATACAAAGCTATATTTTCCCTCATAAACGTTCCTTGAAAGAAGTCTTTGTGCCCTGCTGTGTTTGTTTACTCTTTACTCTGACAGTTCTGGGATCCCGTGTGTTTGTTCCATAAAGACAATCCCCAAGTTTTCTATTTATAGTTTTTATCTAATCTCTGCCATAAAGGAGACGTTAACAGAACATCAGAGCAAAAGCTGCTTCTACATCCGCTCAATGCAGAGCCCGTATGAATTCACTGAGCTTGCTTCTGTTTTCAGAGCGTTGGAGATGTGCTACAGGAACGTTTCGCCGTGGAGATGAAGTGCAACACGGCGCTACGCCTCGCTGCACTGCACATGCATGAGAGACTTGATAGCTGTGGACAAACCCGGGCCTCTATCAAGAGCATTACGTGAGTGTTATGTGTGTCTGGGTCAGTTTAAAGGTCACCCCACTTTTTGAATGCCCTAAAAAGTTGGTTTGCTGCTTTCAGGATTATAATTAGTTTGGGATGAAGATGCTCATTTATTTGTAATCTGTTAATGTGATTGAAAATGTTTAGTGTGTGTTTTGGCATCTGTTGGATTGTGTTACTGAAATGAGGACAGTAGCCTAAATACACACCACCAGAAGCTCTTTCAGCTTCATTTTTAAAGATTGTAGTCGTGATTTTTAAGAGGAAGAGCAGAATTTCAGAAGGATATGATTTGGTTTTAGGGTATTTACAGATCAGGCATCCAGTTGTGATTCCCTCTGGGTTTAATAAGTGGAAAGGTGATTTATTCTGTGAAAGGAATGTTCCTACATTATGTAAATCACATTAATTACTAATGTCTCAATTAACTAATCAGTGTTGTAGTGGTAAGGTCCCACATTGTGTTGCAATGAAAATGTTTTGCCTTAAATGACTGTCTGGAGCTATAAATTGGTGTTTATTCTACTAGGAATTTATTTATTAGATATCCTTTAACAAAATAAACACACTCTATCTAATTAAATGACTTCTACAGCCAATTGGCTGATTTTATATTTCTTTTTAGGGATAATTCAACAAGCTATCATTTTCCATCCACTTCTAAATTATGTTCTGCTTTTTGTTAATCCATCATTTAAAATCTCTAAAGAAAATCCACTAAAGTTTGTGCTTGTAAGGTGACAAAAGATATTATCCTGCTCAGCTTTTTACAATTTCAGGTGATGAATTTGCACGCTCACTACTACACACCCACACCAGCAAGTACAATTATGAAATGGTTGAATGTCGTAGAAACAAAGTTCCTATTTGATAAAGCTTTCTGTCTTTGTTTTAGCATTCAGCAATGAATTAATAATCTAACTCTTACAATCAATTTACCATGCGCCATGTTAAAATGTGACCATTATATCAAAACCAGTCATTTTAAATGTTTTGTTATGTGGTGCAAAAGTTAACATATTTTTTCCCATTTAACTACACTGTTTAATTGTATATTAGTCTCAAAATCCTACCAGATTTTATTATCTACTTTTATTATCTACTATTATCTACTGAAGTAGCATTGTTGGTTGATCATCTAATTTTTTCAGCCTTTCTAACTAAACTTTCAAACTTTATAAAACTATTCAAAATAAAACATCTATAAAATTCCCTCTTTTTGTGACCGAAAGCAGTGAAAATTTAGAGACTTTAAAAAGTGGCTTACACAACATCTTGGATTCTCTCCATTCTTTGTAGTTTTCCATGCCGTTATGTGAGAAGAACAGCATGCTTTACAATCCATATTGATATGCATGGAAGGTTTAACAATGCAAACTGGTATGCACACTGGAATTCATGTAAACTTTCTAAACCCTTAAGGCTGCCCCTGTCAACAAAAATCCAGTTAATTTGTTGACAAGGCTAATGTTTTCCTCAGAGAACTGTTTGCTGACAGCAAAGTTTTTTTCCACAATGGGAGAAGATGGTTGCCGTTTTATACTTACTTGTTTTTCGGTTATTTTCTATATAGAATTTATTTCTAGTGATAGAGATCATTTTAGTAATGAAAGTGTTTCTTTTAGATGTGTTTTGATTCCTGTCTGTATTTGTGGTTGACAGGAAGGAGTTTGGTCTGGACAGCTTTATCTCACCCACACTGCTGAGCAACATGAGGGAGAAGGACCTAAGGAAAGCAATCAGCTACCACCTCAAAAAGATCCAGTCCCTGCTTGAGCCGCGGCAGAAGGTAGATGAGGAAGACTTTACTGAATAAATGCTTTGTGTGATGTGGAGGCTTTTGGGTACATTTCAGATGCTAATTTCCACTGAGGTGAACTGTCACGTCGCATCCGTGGGACGTTTGTGGTGCTCCCAAGTTATCGGCCTCATACCACTACAATAGGGCTACTGTCAATCATTATAATGGTTTTATATAGCAGACTAGACCTTCCAAGAGTTAAGGAATAGCAGCTGATTTAATTTATGCTTTTTCAGGTGCTTCAAATTTCTTTATGATTTAGTTGACACTTTAACAGCTTAAAGTAGTGAAATAAAAGAAAGTAAGTAAATGAGCAATATTGGGAAGTAGAGTAATTAAAAAGGGGTAAATTATTTCTAAGTTCGTTTTACTATATTTACTCTCTCTAAATGTCAACTTTTGTGTTTCAGGTCATATCTGCTACTCAGGCTCGATTGGCCTACCTTACTCAGCTTGGAGAACTTATTTCCTATGGTGGACGCTCTTACACAGCTACAATGATGGTAATTTTTTTCCCCCTTAAAGTTTTGTAAGTCTAGTTCCAAAATTAAAAACAGCAGCATCTTTTCTACGTCAGAAACATTTTTGTGTCATGTTACCGTCAAGACATCATGCAGTTGGAAAACAAGGATTTCCAGGCTAAAACTCTCAATTCCCGCAAACATCCCAATGTGCTCTTGTTACTGTGGTGGCCATTAGAGCAGGGGTCTTCAACGTTTTCCCGGCCAAGGACCCCTAAACTGATGGCGAGATTTTTTATTTTATTATTATTTTTTTTAACTTAACCTTTATTTAACCATGAAAAAAAATCCCATTGAGATTAAAAACCTCTTTTTCAAGGCAGTCCTGGGCAAGAAGCAGCAAAGTTAAATACGAAACATAGATACATTAAAATAAGATGAAGCGGGGACCCCTTAATTAAATGTATTGTATAAAATTGTGTTATATCAAACTAGTCCTTAAATCACTCTATTACAGATGGAGTAATGTAACGAAAGTAGTTTCACCCTGGGATTATTAAAGTATTTCGGATTCTGATTCCTGGTTGATTGGACAGGTGTTGTAAATGAAATGGTGCCCAATTTGAAAGAGCTCCTTAGTGTCGCTGAATGTGTGCATTGATGACTGAAAGTCATCTTCTGCCTCCATTTATCTGTTTACTACAGTGTGTTGAATTCATTTAAATGTGTATTTAAAGACATTTCAATTAGTGGAAAAAATTGCAGGGGGAATATAAATAAAAGGTTTAGGTTACAGCTATCCGATACCTGTTTGACCTCTTCTCTCTGGTTAATTTGTTATTTATGTTGAAGACTATCTCAATATATAAGTCATGTTTTTAGAATTTTAAACAATGTTATAGTTTTAATTCATATTTCCAAAAAGATAAAAAAAAAACTTTTTAAGATTAGATATTTTATGCATCAAATCTTGATATTCTTTCTCTGACTTTTTGAAGAACTAAAAAATCTAGAGTCTATGTTTCTGTTCCTACTATTAAACTTATTGAAACAACATTTTTTTTATATCTTCTCATTTCCACTTTGACTTATTTTTACTCAGAAACACAGATCTGCAATGATGACTAAGACATCTTCTGCCTCTATTTATCTGTTTGCTACAGTGTTGAATTCATGTTAATGTGTATTCAAAAACATTTCAATTAGTGAAAAAAAATTGCAGGGGGGAATATAAAAAAAAAACAAACAAGTCTAATCAACCAAAACTTTCGCGACCCCCCATGCAGTACCTCCACGGACCCCCTAGGGGTCGCGGACCCCCTGTTGAAGACCTTTGCATTACGTATAGTGAATGCATTTTAAAGTTTGATATGGTGCACTAACTTAGTTGAAGTAGTCTTTGAAAGCTGGGTAAACTGCGGTCATGTAGTTTGACATGGTCGCTAATAATACTTAGATACACTGTGACATTCAAACAGCTTATACTTAGGGTTCCAAAGTGTGCCAAGAAAATTTTCCATTTTGGCAAGACCATCATACTTTTGGCCCAACCATCTTAGTGTCTCGACTAAAAATGAGACATATGGGATCCGACAAAGTTTTGTTTTCAGTCTGTTTGGACAATTCAATGCCAGAGTTGTTTACTAACTTTAAAAATACAAAAGTTGTTTTCTTAACACTGTTGGATGAGCTGGTGTAAAAGCTTATCCAAATTATAGTGCAAACAAAACAAACAATCTCTGGTCCACTTTAGAATGTGGGTTTTGACTCACTTGCCAGAAAGTACTGGTGTGGTTTTCTAACAATAGAAAAGGAAAGAGACTATTCAGCAAGAGAAAAAAGTGAAAAAAGAGAGATAGTTAAGACCTCAGCATATGTTTTTGTCAAACTGCCATTTGTTTGATATTTTCAAATAATATTTTTACTTGAAATTCCCTGTAAATAGGCTGTTTCTGTTTCATTCATACTTCCCTGCCTATCAGACCAATTATATTACTAAGTCTAATGTGCATTTGTACTTCAGCAAGTTGTCTTCATCCCTGTTGATGTATAAATAAATGTGGCCCAAGTTGAGTTGGCCCAATTATGATTATTGCTAACGATCAATTCAACAGGTGGCCCTAATGTTTCCTCGCTGTAATATAATTTTTTGTCTGTATTTGCTTACCTTGATTGATGGTCAGCTTCAGGACAGGGAAGTGCTGGTCAGCCTGCTGGTAGGAGCCAAATATGGATTGAGTCAAGTCATTAACCACAAGCTCAACATGATATCCACCTTGGTTGAGTTCAGCAGCATCAGCCGAGTGGAGCTGCTATCCGAGTCAGAAAAAGTCAGCCTGCTGCGCATTTCACTGCATGATATGAAGGTATGAAAGATACCAGTGGAGGCATTGGTTCAGATTCTGTATTATTCATAATCATGTTGGCACTGATGTAAAAAAAAACACAAAAAAAAAACATGCAAATGCCCTTACTGTACTATTTCTGTGCCAAATTTCATACTAGAATAAATATAGGTCAGGCATTTCACTTCAAGTTCAGCACTATATAGCCTTTGGGAGTTAGTGTACTTAATGATTTTCTGACACAAAGGTGACAGTGTCTTCTTCTTTCTCCCACTCCTTCGTCTTTGTCTTCTTACCCTCCGGCTTTAATCACCATGCTTCACCTAATGTTCTCCAATGCCCTCCCCTCTCTCAGCCATTTGCCTTACTGATGGATTCTGTGGCAGCCAAAGACTTAGGGTGTTTGCTGGGAGGCTACTGCAAACTCCTGGTGGATCCAAGTGTTAATGTCTTCCGTCTGGGGCGCCCGAAAGTCAGGGTGCACCGGATTCCTGCTGAAGAAGGTGTGTGTGGGAGGTTCGCCGTAATAGAGGGCGTGTGCTATGAATCCCTATCAAGTGAGCAAAAAACTGTTTCACTTAAAAATATCACTTTCTGGTTTTGGCCTTTTAAAATATTTTCTACATCGGATTTATGTTTAGTGTAGCCTCCTGAGACCCACTGAGTTATTTTTCGCTCCTAAAGAGAGCACTATTCTAAGGACTATGATTTTATAAAACGTATATAAACTGTTTATATCCAAGAATTTAAAGTGGCCCTCAAAAGTGTGGACACACAGTTTAAAATGTCCTGTTTTTTGAGATGTAAAAAAATGAATCATGTTAAATTATCAACAATATATCATGGCACATAATGTACAGGCAGAATGTGCCCACCTGCAAAATTCCTCTCTAAAATGTAGATTGAATTATTGTCTTTTCTTTCACGATCAGTGATGATGAAAAATTAAATTTCTATTGATCCTTAGTTGTCTCAGCTGGAAATTCCTCCAGCTTTCACCTGGTCTTTCTAATACAATTAGAGATATCTTCAGTTTCTGTGACGTCACTGGTTTCCTAAATAGTCTTAAATCATTGATTAGGTGTTTTTGTTGTTGCATGTTTTATAAATAAGCCTGGTGAACTACAATTTCGTCCCAAAATACACTTCTGTACGATAGGGCCCTATTATGAATGGCATGCTATGGTTTTATCAAAAATAAAAAAATTAGATGTGGAAACACTATTTATGGAGGGTGGGAACCCATCCATCCATCTTATTCCGTCAGGGTCGGCCTATCTCGCCTAACTGTGGCAGTCTAAGTGCGGGGGGGGGGGTCATCCTGGAAATGTCACCAGTTTGTCACAGGGCAGGTGAGAACCCAAGAAGACTAAATGTTTAAACTACAAGAATTAGGTTTATTTCATTTAATTCTGTCCTGTACAATGACAAGAAAGCTTCTTCTTGGTCTAAATGACTCAGATAGTCTTTCAGGAAAGCATTAGTTTGAAGTGATAAAACCTTACCTAATCATATTAACGCACATTTAAATGGTGATTACTTAAGGTTTATCTCCTCCTAGCCGTTAAATGGCAGACTCATGCTCGCCTGCTCTTGTTATGTATTGCCGGTTTCTAGCTCCAATTTTAGAAAAAAGTAACTTAGCTGTCCAGAAAAATGTGGCAACTTTGCTTCCTTAAGTTGATACCATCGCTCAAAAGCTTGACTGATGTTTCTTTTTTTGCTTATGATATTACATCTGATATTGTACTATTTGTATTGGTGCCGAATCCTACCACATTGTCTTTGGGATCTTAAACAAACTGAAACATTTAGGCCTATATATATTATGAAAAATTTGGAAAACAAAAAATAAATAATAGAACAATATTTATATATTATTTTTTTGTCAGTGAAATTAATACTTTTTTTCTGCACCCATCTAGTTGTTCTGTGGATTAATCGTTTTTTTTTTTTTTTTTAAATGTAATCATTTTCATGAAAAATCTGAAGCTATGACCATTATTTTTTTCCAAATTATTCCCTGTAACACGTGTATACATACTAATAAAACATATCCACATAGTCATATTTTTACATCACAAAAAAGTTGGCAATTAAAAAGGGGTGTGTACACTTTGAGAGCCATATTAATAAAGAGATTGGGGCTGATTACTGTGATCTTAAATATTAAATTATTTGGACTAAATTGTGATGAATTATAAGACATATTGAATATTTTGGAAAATATTTTAGCATTCCTTCAGGGTTTCAGAAGGGTATATAACTAGCCTGTATGAATATGTATAAAATTTATTCATATAATACTCTATTATAATTAATCATGTTTTATTTTCTATTGTGCATTCAAAAAAACTTATGCTTTGCTTGTTTTTTGTTTGTGTTAGGTTATGTGTCTCGCTGCTGCAGTGATTCAGATGACTCAACAGATGACGATGACCCTATGGATTCCCAGAGTTACAAAGGCTCAGATCACACAAGCACAGACTGGGAAGAAAGGAGAAGAGAGGAGGAGGAAAAGAGGAAAGATGAAGAAAGAAAAGAGAGGGAAGAACACGAAGGCAAACAGGAAGTAAAAATAATAGTTACAACAGAAGGCAAGGAAAATGAAAGCGAAGAGGAAGAAGGTGCAACAGGAAGTGGTCTTCGTAAATTTAATGTTGTTGATGAAGAAATGAACCTAGAGACCAGCTGGTACCACACTGACCTAAGAGTCACTAGTAGCTTCTCAAGCTTGTCCAGCAGCTCCTTGAGCACTGCCCTGGAGGAAAGCAGTGCTGCAGCCAAAGCCCCTTCTCGCTTAGACGCTCTTCGCGGGTCAAGCCCATGCGAAGATCCTTCAAACTTGAGCGTCCACCACCCCTACCTACTTGATCCAAAGCGTCAAGTGCCCCTTCGACCCACAAATCTGAACTACCGTGGCAATGATAACTCTTTCCTCTGCTTTGCTGAACTCTCCAAGGATGATTTCTTGCCAAGTCCAGCAGGCGCTACAAGTGAAGATGATGATGAGGAGGAGGAGGAGGAGGAAGAGGGAGACCTGGGCATCCATCAACTCAGACGCATTTCTAAGATTCCTAGTTCAAGGGATCTGAGAATGATTGACAGCACACCTTTTGAAAGATTGCCCATTAAAAGAAAGAAAAAGATTCCCCCCAAAGTTCCATTAAGAACGAGTTCTATTCCTGGTAATAAATCTGCACAAGCCGAGCATCGCTTGTCTAAAGATGAGGACGGCCTTTTTCTTACTCCCTCACCCAACCCAAAACCAGCTCTTTTGTTAAAGGACAATGTCTCAGAATCAGAAGATGAGTTTTTTGACGCACAGGAGAGATTTACTCCACCAGTTCCAGATCTGTCAGGTTAGTTTGAGTGAGACAATTGCATATCTCATTTTGTGAAAAAGTCTACTGACCATGTTGGCACCATATATTTTAAATAAGCATATCATGAACAAACTTAGAATTATTTAATTAAAAGTTATTGAAAACTCAATGTCTATGAAATATTGTCATGCTTTAGCTCTTCTTTAATCTTTCTTTTCTCTGTCTTTTAAAGATGCTGAGCTGGCTGATCGGAAAAATGCTAATCGCTTGAGTGGAACCTGGAATAGTCTTCAATCTGTCTCAAGAAAAGAACCACCATCCCCCCTTGCTAATAAACCTCGATCCCCTAAAATAAAAAAGGAATCTGAGTTGCTAAAAGACTCTACAAATCAACTTTTTCAACAACCATCCAGTCCCTCAAAGCCGTCTCAGAAATCTGAAGCTAAAGTGAAACCACCACTGGCACCTAAACCCCAACTACCTCCCAAACCTCAGATGATCCCTCCCAAGTCACCCCAACATGGACGATCATATGCCCAGTGCAACGGGGATGCTCCTGGACGTTTGTCTTCTGAACTTTTGGAAATGGAGCCAGATACAATGGAGTTCAAGTCTGTCACATTGGGTGGATTGCCTGTCTCCTCGTCAATTATTACAGCAGTGAGATGTTACAAACAGCCTGTAACCAACACAACACCACAAAATGAGGAAAACACTATTAAAAAGGAAATCTTACAGAAAAACAAAAATCTTGTGTGTGAGAATGGGTTACAGGGTATTCCTAATGACAATAAAATTATTGAAGATAAAAAAGAAACAGAAAAGGTTGATGAGAACGTCAATGGACCTAACATTTTAACGAAAGGTCCACCCAGCTCCCATTCTGTCCCACGCTCTAATTCAGGGACAAAGCTTGCTGTTCCCCCTCCAGTTCCCCCCAAACCTACATGTTCTAGCAGTTTTCATCCTTTATCGCTACCTGCTAGCTCCCCTGTCTCTCCTACTGATCCAAATAAAGGGATTTTTAAGGATACAGTCAGTACACCAAATGGAATCCACCCTTGGAGTAGTCGCAATGGCAGCATCCAGTCAGGGCCTAGGAGGGTTTCTCTGAGCCATGAGAGCCTATCACCTAAAAATGCAGATGCACCACTCACAATTACCACCTCACCCTCCTCTGTGGATTGTAAAGGTGTTGGGGGCCTTGAAAGCAAAGAGCCTGGTCGATCTGGTTCAGGATCCGATCTGAGAACTAGCTCTTCTAGTTTGGGAGGAAGACTACCAGCTTCTGCTCTGAGAGGAAGGATCCAGTCTTTGCCCTGGTACATGACTCGTTCCCAAGAGATTCTTGGAAATTTGGACTATCCCTCAACAAGTTCTATCAATGGAGACACCTCTGGTTTTGGCTCTGGTTTGTCTGTTGCAAGTGGCCTATCAGACTTAAATAAAACCCCTGTCAAGGACACGGATACAGTTGCATCAAAATCAGGAAGTAAAGGAAGCATCTTAGATGATGGAGCAGAGGTTGTCATCGCAACCATCAGACAGGCTCCAGAGGTAAGTTCACATATGAAAAAGGCAAGTGGAACAAATGGCTCACACCCAAATCTGAGTTTCAGAGATATAAGTCCACATAGTGGCTGTGTTTCTTCAGAGCAGCCACAGTCACGAACTCACTCAGCTGTGGGGCTGGGTGGTGTAACAAGCATGCAGATTGGAGGCGACTCCCCAACCTCCTCTGGAGCAGACACTACTCCTCCACAGCAACATCGGGAGTCTTGTGGTTGTCACACCGTTTATGCCAACTGTTTTAGTGGAGACACTGAGGAAGGGGTGAGCTTTGATGAGGAACTTACTGTTTATGAATTCTCTCGCCGTATACGCCCCAAACCTGCTCAAGCATCTTCTCCAACCACACCTGCTCCAAAACCCAACATTCTCTCACTTTTGAAGGACAACCCTCGACCACTGTCTACCTTCTCCACTGCATCCTCTGAACTGAGTCCACTCGTTTCGTGTCCAGTTTCCCCTACAGTTTCACTCAGTGGTCGTCTGCGTTCCCTTTCTAACAAGAACTATGGGGGGCTAAGGGGTGGTTTTGCCTCTCTGCGTGAAGACATAGATCAACTTCTTCTAGTATTAGACAGGGACGGGCTTGACCAGCCTCAGCAACACTCAAAATTGGAGACCACAGACCTAAATCACAATGGAACACAAGACAATATGGCTTCAGGTAAAAGTTGCACAGGGGTAAGTCCTGTCATCATGACAGAGCCTGAAAAAAGTCTTCTCCAGGCAGAGGCTCGTCGACTAGCATCTGGATGCCAGCGAGCGACGCGTGTTGGTTGGGCTCCGGATGAGGCTCTGCGTTCTTTAACTACTAGTTTTAGCGCCCTGGTTCAGCTGTCAGCTGCCTGCCTGAAAACAAACCCCTGTCCTGGTTGTGAGGTCTGCAATAAAGCAAGACTAGTTGACAAAGATGAGGACGATGATGGCCAGCAGCCTATGGAGAAGTTGAAGGAGATAGTTGGTCTGTATAGAGAGTTTGTCGGGGCGGTTGAAACAGCTGGGACTGGCGGTGTTAATGGTGGTAGAAATGTGGGGTCTGGACAGAGTCAAGGGGAGGAAGATGGCGTAAGGCTGCTAGCCAAACGCTGCACTCTGCTCATCTCATCCGTATTCGCGCTCACACAACTTTTCCGGTCACGCACACTGGAAACCACGGACACACCTGGCCGTGTACCTCTCAATTTTTGACCCAAACATTAAGACTCATAAAACAATGGACTCCAGAACTGAGACGAGGAAACTGCACAGAACAAATTGGTTTGTTACTCTAGTATTTTTGTACAAGTGCCATGCACACAACACAATACACATACTGACACCTCACATAATCCTAGAGGAGAGATGTCTGCCTCTCTTTGTAACACATGTGGACTATGCATTTGTAGATATGAATTTTATAATTACTTTATTCTCTTATTTTATGATACAACACCTGTATGTATGTGCTAAATATCCATGTACGTATTTATGTATTTATTTTTACAATGGTTGCACCACTATTTGTCATGTGCAGATCTCTGGTGAGTAAAACCTAAACAAATGGATGTCACTGGATTTTTTAATTTTATTTTCTCCGTCTCTGAGACAGTATTATGTTATCCTTTGCTGCTTCTAAAAACAATCTTCGCTCTACAAGGTGTAATCTGTAAATTGTCTATCTAAGTTTATTGACTAGTACATTTACTTACAACACAGAGAATATACTTTGTTACAGTTTTGAACTATAGTAATTAACCGTTATTTTTTTTGTATGTGTAAGGTTTACACCTTTTTTAAGGGTTTGATTTATAAACCTTCCAGTTTCAAATAAATGTGGTACCAAACTCTACCATTATACAGCAGGGAGAGCACTTTTGACTGTTACAGATTGCACCTTTTTGTGAGACATAACCTTTTATGAAATGTTTTTATTTTGTCCTTTTCCCTGTCCAGATTATTCTGTGTAGTTTCTTGGTATTATTCCCTTTTCCCACCTGTATGCAGTATTATAACATTGTTATTGTTTTCATCCAAATGTCTACATTTATATGTTTTCTGGATATGTGGGGATGGGGGCTTAGGCAGTGAAACAGTGGACCTTATTTATGTAGTTGGCACAAGGGTGACTGTTAAACTCTGTCCAGATGTAGCAAAGATCCAAAGTCTTAAAACCACTGAGCCAGAACTGTTCCTGCTTTGGATTCCTCTTTGTAAAACACTTTATCAATTACAAACTGAAAGATTTACTGACAGTGGTGAGAAATGAAGAAATACATCTGTGTCCTACCTTAGTTTATGCCTATGCAAACATAAACTCCTTAGCCCATGCACACTATTGTATGCTGATTTTATCGTTTTCAATGTGAGCATTAAAACAAACAACAGACGCATTATATTTCTGTGAATATAATGTGCATTTTCTTTGTTTAAAATGTCAGATTTTCATCTTGCTTTGTGGAAACTGCCTGCATTACGACTTGCAACAATATGCAAAGCTGCATGATATTTGCAACCGTCAATGTAAAGACTCCTGTCTGTAATGATCTCTGTGAATCGCCGCTAAAATTATTACATTGCTCTATCATTTGATGTAGCGTTCGCTAATCAGCTCGCCATTTATAAGACACGCTGCCAAGTCCTGGATGAGCCATCCACCATGAAGGATTTACTCAAGCCACTTTTGAAAACAGGAAGGTACTTAAGACTAATCAGTCAGTAGCTGCTCCTGTAAATATGATAAGGGGATTAGATAAATAAAGGCTGTTTAACTGTGTATAGGTGGCTGGTGAGGAGAGGTATTTCTTTTTTCCAAAATGACAAGGGAAAACTTTGTGAAGGGTATGAAGGTAAATCTACTATTTGAGACTTTCAGCTACATTGTCTTCAGGTAGCTTTACCCATGACTGCACTAACAAACCATTCTGTGATGTTCCAAGTGTTTTTGCCTTCTTTTGTTCATCAGACAGGCTCACAGAACAATGAGAGTCTGTTACACTCTTCTGTCTTCATGCACAAAAGTTCCTATAAAACATGTTTCTACCCAGGAGATCCCATTTCCATATTTGCATCCAACATAGCCAATGTAACAAAACGTGTACTCTTTGGGAATAAATGACACACTGACCTTAACTGTCTTTGTTTACTGGGTGTCTGTGTCTGCTGGATGTTTGTAATAGATCAATAAGTGACTTCAGGTAACCCTGTTGAAATAATAGGTCCTGTTCATAGACCTAAAATATTATTGATTGCATTGCAAATTAAAAACTAAAAGCCAAATTGCTGCAGTTTAAAATGAAAACAAAAAGCCTTTGAGTGAGAGCTTACAGTATTACTGTATCCTTTTGACATGTCTAAACCTGTAATGCAGTTAATGAGGATTACTGTAAGCTTTCTTTCTCGGTCGTAACTCGCTTCCCGTCTGCTAAGGCAGCGTTCATCTGTGAACTCAAGCGTCTTCCTTTATCCCTGATCTCTTTGTCATCTCTTTTTATTTGAAATCCAAGTAAATATTTAATCTACATTATTGAAAGACTTATTTTGTAGTGTAGTGTGATCTTGTCAGATTTAAATCACCAAGAAAAACCAAGAGCTGATAGACTTTGTAACTAAAGAAGCTAAACTCTTCTAAGGCCAAAGTCCTCACATAAATCTTGACTTTTATTTTGTTGTCAGGCTCCTTGTTGCAGTAATCTAAAGAGGAACATTCATCGATGTAGTCTTGCTGGCATCTCTTCGGTGACTAAAAATAACAAACAGTCATTACAGTCACGATATTTTAGAAAGCATTTTACAAATGAGTGGCAACTCTACGTTTTCAACATGACATTGTTATACAGCGCCCAGGGATGTTTAAGTGTTTCAAGAGCAAGGATCAGAGTGCATGTCAGGCAAAGGACAGGTTAGACGAGTGACATATTCTACAATGAAACTGGGTGGATTGAAAGGGTTGGCATGAAAGTCACAAATACACAAGAATCATTCTTTGTCAAGGTTACATAACTATCTCATCACAATGCCTTGTAAAAGTATTCATAAACCCTTGATCTTTCTCACATTACAACCAAAACCTTAGGTGTTTGTTTTTAGGGTTTTATTTTATGAACAATGAGGTGAGTAAATGTGAGATGGAAAGAAGAAAAAAAAGTTTTTTTAAATAAAAGACTAAAAAAATCAGAAAAATGTGGGGTGCTTATGCATTTAGCTAAATTAACTCTTATACCCTGTCAACAAGATTTTTTTTTACGAGACTTGGTCACAAATACTTACGAGGTTAGTCACAAATGTGTGACTAACAAAGTCTACATACATCTTCAGAGAACAAACTCTGAAGAAATAGGAAGACGAGTCACGGATAAAGTTGGAGAAAAACATTAATCTAGCTGAAGTTACAATTTTCAGACATTGAATTTCTTACAGAACACTGTTTAAAACCATCATGTGAAGATGAGAGAAATTTGGCAAAAACTGCAAACCCAAACTGACAGGACAAACAAAGGAATATTAGTCAGACAAGAAGCAAAGAAACTGATGCTAATGCTGTTTTTGTGCAAAAGGTCTAGCCTTTTGCAGAGGGTTGGCAAACCGAAGGTAAAAACAAAGACGCAAGAGGTCACATTTTCAATTTGACAGTAGATGCATAGACCAAACCACCCAAGCGCATGACAGAAAACTCACCTGAAACAGTATACCACTTAAATGGCAATGGTTAAAATGGCACATTATGCTCAATGCTAAGAAACACACTGCAGAAAAAGATTTAAGAAAAACATTTAAAAAAAATGGATTATTGATTTTGATTCGGATATGGAATAGGTAACGTCTAAGGAACAAAAAAAATCTAGATCATTTGAGGACAAATATCAACCAACATAAGAAGTCAGAGAACTAAATAAGCTAAAAAAAATCTGATTCTGCAGGCCGTTCCAATGCTCCTTTTAAGATGATGGTGTTCAGGGGCATCTCATCCCGGGTCATGAGCAGGGCATCACTCAGCTCCTGGTGCTGTTGGATGGACCTAAACGTGACTGGATTTAGGTCAGCGGAGCATTGAGGTCAGTAAAACAGAATGTGTACCTCCGTCCTCCCTGAACTGCCTTCTGTGCTGGGAGACAAAACAAACCTGAGGTATTGATGTGCCATCCAGCTGTAGGTGGATCAACGGGTGGGTTCAGTTATCGCTTTGTGTTACGAGTGGTGACACTTGTTGGGAAAATGTATTATGATCAAAAATCAGACCAATAAAAAAAAAAGAGGAGGGGTGGAAGAACATCTGTGATCTCCACCGTTTTAAAGGAGTCATTGTTTTCCTTTTATTGCACCTGTGTTGATTACATTAACACCAAAACTGCTTTCAAAACTGCGTTATAAACATATATTTTTCGGACTTTTCATCTATTTTCAGTTTCTAATCCACATAGAAAAATGCTAAAAATGAGGCCCAATGGAGAAAGATTTTACTCTAAATGCAGCTCACCAGGGAATTATGCTATTTTTAGAACAGCTTTGCGGCCCCTCATTTGACCCCTGGTTTAAATCAAAGCATATTGATGTGTTAAAATAGTGAAGTCTATTTTACTGCTTTACAAACCATAAATTCATATATTTATGTTGTTTTATATATTTTCAGAGAAACAAGATCAAATATTTGTTAACCCCTATGCAGGTTCAGAGACTTTCCATCCAATCTGAAAGCATGATCTATTTAACAATCTGAAGAAAAAAAAAGCTGTTAGATGTTTAAAACTGTTAGAAAGAAATAGCTAGAATCACAGGGTAAGGTGATCCAATGAGGACTGATCCAGAAAGGCTAGCTACAAATTCTTACATAAGTTTTTAGCTAAATTAAAAAGGAAGCAGCAGTGGTGCGCGGTTAGAGCGTCAGATCCATTTATGGTGGCCTTTGTCCTCATAGCAGCCATTCCTGGTTCCAATCTTGACCTAAAGGCCTTCACATGATGCATCCTCTCCCTCTCCACCATTTCCTGACTGAATACTTCAATCAAGGCCACTAAAGCTAGAAATCTTAACAAATATATATAAATAATCCATTGTTTCACTTTCATTTCACAATTCTGCTGGTACTTAATCAAAGGTTGTTGGTTGTAACATTAAAACAGGTTTAGCTTCTGTATAAATTATATTGTTTTCAGAAAATGTGACCCTCCAACCATTTATCCTAAAAACACCAGTGCAACAGATCTCTTTATTGATAAACATTTACCTGCAGTGAGTTTACATTTTAAAGGTAACATATTTATTTTTTTTAGAACAATTACAAGCAATGTTTTTTATACCAGCAGGAGGATTCTCTTCTGTAAAGCTGGAATATAAAAGCTTTCTTTTGAAAGGAGGAAAAAAAAACACATTTAATCAGAAAAAAAAGAAAGAAATGGGCCAAATGGTACTTTTTTCCACGGCAGCTTGAGCTTTTTGTGCCACTGAACATTACCCTCTGTCCCTGCCTTCACCCTCCGCCATTAATCCTCAGTCTCTCAAATGTCCAAGCGACATGCCTTTCCTCTTTGGGCCGTCGAACACCCTCAGAACTGCGGTGTAGTGACAGCAACTACTCAAGCTTGAAATCTGAGCCCATTATGTCAACAGATGTTACAGAAAGGGAGGAGAGCAAGCGTGAGAGGAGGAAAAAATAACAGGAGGGAAAAAAAAAAGAGGGTAGAGATTCAGAGTGGGCAAAATTAACATTCATTAGAGCTTTTTTCAGTATTCAGCATTAGAGACGGTCCCGAAACTAATTAAAGGAACAAAAGTGCGCATTCAAATTTTTATCCAATATTGTTTGTTGCATTCAAAGTCTAAATATAATTCCTTCTCTAAACGTTTTAAAAATAACAAACATGGTTAAGATTGTTTTTTTATGCAAAGACAACTTGTCTCTGGCACTTTAGAAAATCAGTAAAAAACTAAAACCACACAGATCATGTGTGATAAAACTGGAGCTGCAAGGTGTTTAAACAAAACACCAATAAGTTTCTGGGTTTCTTTAAAGCCTAAACTGCTATTTAAATCTTCTTTCCTTTTATTTATGTAAAAAAGGGGTTATTTGACTTAATAAAATCCGATTATCTCAATTTATGCAGTAAAGCATTATTTCCTATCCTTAACTAGACTTTTACATCATAGATGTTTGTTGGCCAATGCGTTTATAGACTGTGAATGGTGAGTTTAACACAGCCTATTCAATGCTAAAAAACAAAACAAAACAACTACAGATAAAGAAAAAGCAGAGAAAAAAAGCGCCCTGTCTGATTCCTGATCTCTGGATGACTAGTCGGTACATCTTTAGTTTAGATATTGTGCTATATTTTGGCATTCCAACAATAAGTTAGACATTTCTCGCAGATTAAGATGCAACATTTTCATCTTAAGCTTTAAATGAGGGAAAATAAAGAGGCAGGAGTCTATGAATCTCATTTTGATGAATATTTCTCTGGACATTTCAATGGTCAAAAACACTAAAGTGGCAGTTTAGCTCGACAGAGAAGGTGCTTTTGGTCGACAGAACAAAGGGATGCCTTTTTCAACACTCCACAGCACAAAACACGTTTTCCTACTAAACAGTGAATGAGAATTAAAGATGCTGTAAAAAACAGAAACACTCCTCAACAAGTTAAGCAAGGGCTTACCATGTTGGACCCTGGCACAGATTTTTATAAAAGCTGAAGTTTGCATGTGGATTTTATTACGATGACGACATTGAAAAGTAACAATGGCAGGTGGCTATCATACACTCACAGCTGGCCCCTCTGTTCTCTCTCTCAGTCCTGGAATAACAGAGCAAGACATCCACCTCAGACTTTTCCGTTTCTCTTTTCGCACGCCTCCTTTCTCTCGACGTTCCCTTTAATCGCATCGATTCGTCTTCTCATAACAGCTTGAGCAGCAGCTCATAGGTGGCGTTGATGATTCCCCAGGATATCAGTGAGCGGTGGTAGTTGAGATGGGCTCCTCTGAAGAGCATGGCCACGCTTCCCCCCTCTCCCTCCACACTGTTAACAGCACCTTCCTGCACGGCTGGAAGGCTCCGCCCACCTGAGACTGAGCCCGCGACTTAACCACATTTAATGGGTAAAACATAATACCGAGGGCTGCACCCAACACCCCTCCGCAGA